ACAAATGAGCTTTCAGGAAGGCCAGCGGGAGTTCCTGTGTGTGTTTGCTCCAGTAATGACTTCTCATTGAAGAAAAAGAAAATGCATTGATTCAGCTCTCACACGCTCTCACAAAGCCCCGCCTCCTAAAGTTAAACAGACAGATTCTGTGCCACGCCCCCTTATTTTATTTATTATGATTTCTTCACTGTAGTTGTGCAGCACATGTCAGTATCTGCACTTTTAAAGTGAAGTGTGTGTTAGTGTGTCTGTGTATGAGATGTGTTTGCTCTCTAATGAAGAAATAGAGATATTTTGTTAAAGGCTTTTTATTATAAGCCTGCAAATATTTGGCCATTTTGAGCCAACTGTTCCCAAGTGATCCACTTGACAGTGCATAGTACTCATTTATTTATTTGTTTCTGTGTTTTGAATATATTATCAAAATAGTTCTGTTTTTTTAATTCAGCATTTTAAATTTAGATTTTCTTTATATATATGAGATATTATTATTTCATTAATATTTTGAATTAGATTTTGTTCATATTTTCCGATTTCATTTTAATTTAAATAAAAGTTTCAGTAATTTTGTTGTGTTTGTCATTTTTGAGTTGCTTTTTTTTTATTATTATTATTTTGCATTTCAGTATAGGTTTTTTTTGTTTTTTTTTGTTATAATAACCCTGCTACAAATAGTACAGATTCCTTAATATTTCGTAGTTATTTGAAACATTTCGTGTTGCCATAGAATCATTTCTATTTAATGTTAACATTTAAAACTAGATTTTTTTGGTTTTAAAAAACGTTTTTATTCCCATATTCTTTTGTTGATTTTATTAATTTATTGATTGATTTTATTGAAATTCTTTTGTGGATTTTATTGATTGGCTGTGTAAGTCTGCCTATATGGTCACTTCAGGTTGTGAAGGGACTATTTCATCTTTGTGTGTGTGTGTGTAGACTGCAGGGAGATCCTGTTGCCTTTGATGACGGAGCAGCTGAAACTTCATCTGGAGAATCATGAAGAGCTGGAGTCCTGCTGTCAGCTTCTCAGCAACATCCTGGAGGTGCTTTACAGGAAGGACGTGGTGAGAACACACACACACACACACACACACGTTCCCTGTTTCTTAAAGGAGTTGTTCACACTAAAATGGAAAATCCAAGTCTCCTAAAAACTAGGGCTGTGTATCGTTAATAATCCGATACGATACTTATCACGATACAGGGGTTAGGATACGATATATTGCGATACTGTAAAATACACTGCAGCCTACACCGCGACGGGAGCCGGTATGCTAATGCTAACGCTAACGTTGTGAGATAACACTGTCATCGGTCGGGTTATAACCGAACACAATTACACTGACATGAATCTTGGAGGTAAACAAATAAATATCGATACAGTATTTCCAAATATAATATCGCGATATTCACGAGTATCGATTTTTTTCTTACAGCCCTAATAAAATCGGAAATAATTATTACTTGAAAGTCTAAAAAGTCAAGTAAGCTTGTACCAGGTTTGAAACAACATTGATATGCTAATCTGTGTGTGTTTATCTCATGTCCTCCTTTAACTTCAATGGCCTGTATGTGACCCAGTCAGAGATGTGAGTTTATTTAATTAAAGTTAATTAATTTCTGGCTCTTATTACGACTGTTAATTGGCCTCTTCGGTCAGCACTCGACTGCGCAGCACTTCTGGATATCTGCCCAGTTAAAATGCTCTTCTCCTTCATTTGATCAGTTACTGCCGCCATGATCAATAGAAAACTTCCACAAATGTCTCTGTTGGATGAAATCTCCTCTACTGCCACTTTTAGAATAAGTGCATTCTATGAAGAGCCTCATTTGCATAAAATGTTTTAACTGGGTGGTTTTGAATAAGAGTATGATGAAATACTACACAGTAAACTGCATATTAAACTCTGCATAATAACTTTTTCTTTAATTTGGTTCTGTCTCCCCATCTTTACATTTCCCATCTCCCCATCTTATTACAGTTATTTAAAACTAAAACCAAAAAAAAAATGTTACTTGAAATGAAATAACCGATGACATAAATAATATACAGTATACGATACATACATATATATATATATATATATATACTGTGTATAATAACTAAAACTGAAATAAAAATTAATATCCTAGTATCTCAGTGATACTAAAATAACACTGCTTGACACACACACACACACACACACACACACACACACACACACACACACACACACACACACACACACACACACACATATCCGTACGTCACTGATTCTCCCACTTCATGGTGCTGTGGGTGAAGCATCCTTTGAACCATTGTGCGAGTGTGTGTGTTTACTTGATAATTGAGCGTGTGTTGCGTAATACACACGTCACAGTCGAGCACAGAGCTCTCTCATCGCTGGTTGGAGATCAGCTGCATCCTTTGTTAAATAATTGACAATCTGCTGTGAGTGTATCAGGATCCCCACTAACAAACACACACGGCTCAGAGCGACGGGATGCGATGCAGTTTATTTTATTATTTTACACCAGTGAAATTTGAAGAAATATCTTTACTATACTGACTAATTCAATATCTGTTAATTTAGTATCTTTCTTTGACTAGTGAACACGGCACCAGCAGGGCAGCGTTAGGCCGCGATCACACAGATTCCCTGCAGCGCTGACTGTGCAGAAAACTTTATAGCTCAGTTCAACACAATTATTGCCATCCCTAATTGGGTTTGTAAAGCTAATTAAACCACACCACTGTTCAAAAGTTTGAAGTATTTTTTTTGTTTTGATGTTTTGAAAAGTCTCTTTTGTTCATCAAGGCTGCATTTATTTGATCAACAATACAGTCAAAAAACAGTAACATTGCAAAATATTATTACAACGTAAAATAACTTTGATATTTGAATATATTTTACAATATAATTTATTCCTTTGATCAAAGCTGAATTTTCAGCATCATTACTCCAGGCTTCAATGTCACATGATCCTTCAGAAATCATTCTAATATGATGATTTGCTGCTCAAGAAACATTTCTGATTATCATTGTTGAAAACAGTTCTGCTTAATATTTTTGTGGAAACCCTAATAGAGTTTTTTTGTCAGTTCAGTGGAATTCCCCCATCACTGAATGTCACCCACCAGAGATGTTTGAGTTTAATGTTGTCTTGTGCGGATAAGTCATTTATTTGTGGTATATTTCTGTCTCTGCGTGTCGTTTTAGGGTCCGACGCAGTGGCACGTACAGATCATAATGGAGAAGCTTCTGAGGACCGTAAACAGGACTGTAATCTCCATGGGACGAGACTCTTTTCTCATAGTAAGTGTGTCTTTCTTCTGGTGTCTCTCTTCTAATTGTTTGGCTTTCCTGTGTCCGTGGGTAGTAACAGTGTGTTCTACCATAGCAGTGCAATCGGACTGCTGTCTGCAATCATCAAATGGCTACACACACACACACACACACACACACACACGCGCGCGCGTGGGTCTGACTCAAATCCATTGTTTTTGTGGTTTGGACATAAAATAACACCCATTAAGCTGAAGTGTGTAGTTTCTGTGCCGCTAGTGCTACCATACAAAACTACAACAACTGTTTACAAACAGGTTTCCCAAACTCTCACTCATCCTCCATTGGTCACCAAACTGATAGCCCCACCCCTAAACTCACACTACCTAGTGTGTGTGTAAATATTTCTCTGTCTTTTGATCACTGTTGATCTGTTCATTTCTCAGTGTTTGTGTTGATTTGATTTCATTATGCTGTTTGTCCAGATGGTGTGAATGTGCAACGTCTTTTGGCACTGTTTTACAGCTCCTGTGATTGCTGTGTGTTTGCCAACAAGAGCACACATGGCTTTATTTGCTGCTGTTTTTTATTTCATCCTGTCTGAGCTGATCTGAGATCAGGTGTTAGGGGATAGTTTAGCAGTTAGAGAGCTTTAAGCTCTTGGTAGTGGCTGTCCTTGTCTTTTACAGCCACGTCCCTCCATATGCATCCGTTTATGTGTTTAAAGGAATAGTGCACGCAAAAATGTATATTTTGTCATCATTTACAAGTCTTCATTTCATTCCAAACCCATATGACTTTCTTTATTATGTGAAACACAAAAGATTGTTATTTTTTCCTCATGCAATTAAGCTTCATGCATAGTTAATGGAGACTGGAGTTTTTATGTTTCAAAAAAGATAAACAGCGAAAGTAGAGATGCACCAACTTTAAAATTCTGCTCAATATAGCTAATTCTTGTTATTTTCGTTTTATGACCATGTGTGTGTATACAGTAGAGCCCGGGGCTAGTAAAGCCAAGGTCATGGGTTCGATCCCCAGGTACAATGTAAGTTGCTTTGGTAAAAGCATGAGCCAAAATGCAAAAATATAAAAGTAATAAACATTTGCAAACTGGTGAACACATCATCAGAGAGAAGAGGTCTCTGCAAGAGGGAGGGGGAGTTACTTTGAATGAAGAATGATGTAGATGGATAAATCATTTATAATAAACACTACAATATTCTATTAAAAATAATCAATTTTGATTTCATGGTGAAGTCACTGGATTGCTGGATCTGATTGGCAGCATTGCATCATATGTTTCTGCAGCCATATGCATGAAATACAAATACAAGGTCTCTAAACTCCAGACTCTCAAATCCTAATGGTCACGTCATATAATGCCCATTCATTGCTCTCAGGGTACATATACTCTTTGCTGACATTTGCAGTAAATCCCTCTGTCTTGTACAGGGAAATTGTGAGTATGAGAGCATTGGCTTACGCTTTTAACCAAAGCAACTTTAGCCCAAAGTATACTTCGGTTTTTTTTTACGTGTACGCTATGCATGCAGTCGAACGCGTAGCCTTTCAAGAGTATACTATATTTGGCTATCAATGGTTTAAATGTTGGTTGAACCATTTTTAAGCCATTTCAGAGCATCGCCGAAGGCTCAAAAACAGCGAAATACCAACCCCTGCTTTGAGACGTAAAAATGTCATTGTTTAATGCTGAATTTCAGTATCTGGAGGTCTCAGAATTACAGATTTGTCTCTCTGTGATTGAATATGTGTGCTTGTATGTCATGTATAGGCTGAGCATGTTTAAGAATGCATGTGTTGTAGTTTCAGTTTTCAGGATTGTGTAGATTGATAGTACATTTAGTGTGTGTGTCTGGTCTCTGTAGGCAGCTCTTCCACTGTGACCTTGCTCGTCAGGGCTCTGTTGCTTAGATTCAGATTTATGCATTAACTTTTCTCTGTGGTTTTGCTGCATGTGAGTCTAGAATTCAAATGAGTCTGATCAGCACAGCCACACACGTCCTGCATGCTGATGTGCACTTACAGTAAAGAAAAAGTCCAGGAGAAAATCTTTTTAAACTTCAAAAACTCTGAATCCTACAGATCGTTCTTGATTATCAACCATGAATATGTCATTGTGTGGTTTGTTGGAGAGGTAATATTGGAGAGAGGAGTGCTTGTATTCACAATTTGACAATGTAATGAGTCTAAAGGTCCCGTGGATAGAGGATCCCAAGTTTACAGAATATTTTAGAAACTTGAGGGAGCTATTTTGACCTGGGCAAGTAACCACCGACCTAACATACACTAATGCAACCAAAGCAATGCCCTGTTTCTAGAACACCCTAAAAACCACTCAAACAACTGCTTCGCAAAAAAGACTTCTTTTTCGGCTTGTATTTTATGATCTTTTTATGTCTGATGTTAGTATTTTAGTCTTTTCTCTGTCTTTGTTGCATTGAAGAACCTTATAAGCCTCATCTACGCCTTTCAGTAGGCTTTTCTCTCTAATATGCAGTCATGTCTTTATCAGGATCTGTGCTTGTGTGTAATCAGAGTATTTTCAGCCCATCCCATTCCTCTGCAGTAGGAGGGGCCAGGTCGAGGAGCAAGGCTTTTGATTGGCTGCTCTGTTTGACTGTAATTTCAGGACTGGCAGCAGGTTCAGTCTGCAGCATCAGTGCAGCAAAATCCTCTTAGATTTACATTCTCACCACATTCTCAGTGCATTAAATATACATTTGTGATGATAGAGAGGCTCTTCGGATTGATTTATTTCTATCTGAAGGTTTTTGCTGACAGTCTTCCTTTTAAGTGCATTTCAGATGAGTTTTTCAAACTCTCTCGCAAGGGAAATACTGAATGGTTGCCGCTGCAAGCCTGCATGGGAATTCCCTGCTTAATAAACACAAACGCACACAAACTCCTTCATTGTGACCTGGAGAATTTTAATAACTCTCAGAGTGTCTTTTGCTTTGCTTCGGGGAATGGAAGTAAGAAAGAGAGAGAAATACATTGAGGATCCCTTTGATAAATAAATAAATAAATAAAAACAGGTGGCTTAGCACAGCTTCTCATCTGCATTTACATGTGTTTGGTGGTTCTTTATGTTATAGCTCAGTAATTTTGCTCTCAATATTTGTTTAGCCAATATGTGTGATATACAGGTACAGACACGCAGTAAAAGTAATTCTACTGAATCAATCCTATGAACTTACTGTTGCCATCTGGAGTGAATCGTAGCCGGCATATTGCCTATCTGTATTTTTATTTATTTATGTATGTATTTATTTTTTCCCCTCCTCGCTGCTCCTAGATCACTGCAGTGAGTTTATTCTTATCTTGTCTAATCTGGGTGGGCGACATCCTTCCTTAAAATCCAGAGCTGCTTTTCTCACATACAGTAATTACACATTCCAACAATTAGCATCTGCAGCACGACAGTAATGTCCCAAAAGTCAAAATTGCTGAAATTCTACACTACACAATCCTAACGTGAAAACCACCATAGAAAAGTCAGTTATTTTTATTTTTATAACCATTTTTCTAAATTATTTTTTTAAATAAAAATTAAAATGTATATGTAATTTTATTCATTTAATTAATTCATATACATGCCTGTGGACAGAAAGTACTATGAAATGCATTATACAGACAGATTTCCCAGTTCTCCCAGTAATAATAGAGCCACTCTTTGTATTTTTCATGTTTTATTTTGTATAGTAAATAGTTTTAAAAACTGTATAAAATACACAATATTGCACATAATAAATCAATTGCACTTTTTAAGGAACAGAAAAACATCTAATCGTCTCTTTAGGCTACAGTAGAGCTATTGAGAATCACAACTGTTGTGGTACGAGGGGACGGCTCGTCTTGTGTTTCTGAAGTAGCCAACATACACCAGCGGGAGAGAGTCAATTCAGTGGAAATGGGTTTTTTCCTGTTCGTGAAGTGGTTTCTTTTGCCCTTTTTTAAAAGACTTTGGCACATATCTCTGGATGGGACTCTGCTTTTGGCCTCTGACGTGACATTCCCAGAATGCTTTGCTCTTGTGATTTTGTTCTGTGGGCTGAAATCAGTATTGTTTGAGATGATTTTAGCCCTGTTTTGCTAGATATTTTCATCACTTAAACTTATGTTCCGATAAAAAGGGGCGTTTGATTTTCAGTACGGCTGTCACTCCTCTTTAACCCGTTTCTGTGCACACAGAGTTCTGATGTATATGGGAATAACAATTGCATTTCACTCACTGAAAGTGAACACTGAATGTTCATTAAATCCACAAAGTGTGTTGCGAACCAGACTGAACAAGTTAATGCGTTTGAGATGTTTCACTTTTGCAGGTCCAGTGGAAGCAAATCACACAGACGGCGTTACATCTCGACTCGATAAATGAGTTAGTCACTTTGCAGTGTGTATGTGACTTGTATGTCGTCAGGAAAGAACAAGGCATCTTCTCCCTGTAGACTGTGTGTCAGCTGAAGCAGAGAGATGTTTAAGCATCGCAGGTTGTGTGTGATTCTTTCTGTCCGTATCGCTCTGACTCTCCATGCTCCATTTTATACTCTTGTTCATGTGTTTCTTCATCTCTCTCTGTTTGTGGCCATATGAGTGAATCTCAAGGCAAAAGACATTCAAAAAGAAAAAAAAAGTGGTTGTATTGACTTTAATTTTACAATTAAGCATATTTTCCCCCAGCAATACTCATTACTGTAAATTAATGCAACATTTTTTTAAATGCATGTTTTATTATATATATTTATATTTCGGCACTGTCGGGCAGAAACTTGTATCTCCAAATATCTCTACTTTTCAGGAAATGGAAACACACTGTTTTTAATTAATTAAACACTGTGTTGTCAAAGTTTGTAATATGGCTTTATATGTGGTCAGGTGGTCAGACACTTGCATGTGTCATTAGATTATTAACATTTTACCAAAATCAAGCTCAAATGGAGTTATGAGGTTTTTGACCAGCGTTATAGACATACATGTTTTGTCCGTCATTAGATTTACCTCATTGGAGGCAGTAAGTGCATCGTATTACGTTTTCATCAACTTACAGGTTATTACGTTTACTGTCGATGCCTATGTGGACGCTCAGTGTCTTCTGTCATTTGGCCAAAATCTCATGTTATTAAAAAATTAAGTGCTACGCACAGACTATTTAAGACCGTATTGGCCATGATTCAATGACAACAAATAGACTAAGACACTATTCTCTGCTCCTCAAATACATAAAAGATATATATATATATATATATATATATATATATATATATATAGTGTATAAAGTGTTTCTTGAGTAAAAAAAAGCTGTACTTATTCAAAGAACTAGTTCTTTATTTACCCTTGCATTGCAAACAAGCAGAGACGCTCAATGTTTGTGGCACCTCATTCACGATAGAGGTGAGCGGATTTATGAGGTTTGACTGACAGTTTGAGGATCCACTGGAGTTACGAGGTTTGGTCACAAGCTCTTTTTAATACTTTTCAATGGTTAAATATTTGCAAAACCCACAGACAGATGTAAAGAGTGACTAAAAAAATAAAAAATTTGACAAAATATAGAGATACAAGTTTTCCGCCCGACAGCTGTATGTGTGTGTGTGTATACATACACAGTATCTCACAAAAGTGAGTACACCCCTCACATTGCAGCAAACATTTTAGTATATCTTCTCAAGGGGCAATACTATAGAAATGAAACTTGGATATATTTTAGAGTAGTCAATGTGTTGCTTGTATAGCAGTATATATTTACTGTCCTCTGAAATTAACTCAACATACAGCCATTATTGGCAAAATAGCTGGCAACAAAAGTGAGTACACCCTAAGTGAACATGTCAAAACTGTGTCCAAAGTGTCAATATTTTGTGTGAGTACCATTGTTATCTCGCACTGCCTTAATCCTCCTGCACATGTAATTCACCAGAGCTGCACAGGGTGTTGCTGGGATCCTCTTCCACTCCTCCATAATGACATCACGGAGCTGCTGGATGTAAGACACATGGCACTTCTCCACCTTCCGCTTGAGGACGCTCCACAGGTGCTCAATAGGGTTCAGGTCTGGAGAAATACTTGGCCACTCCATCACCTTCACCTTCAGCTTCCTCAGCAAGGCACTTGCCATCTTGGCAGTGTGTTTGGGGTCGTTATCATGCCGTTCGGCCCAGTTTCTGAAGGGAGGGCATCGTGTTCTGCTTTCGAATGTCACAGTACATGTTGGAATCCATGTTTTCCTCAATGAAGCGCAGCTCCCCGGTACCAACAGCACTCATGCAGACCCAGACCATGATGCTACCACCACCATGCTCAACTGTAGGCAAGACACAATTTTATTGGTGCTCCTCACCAGGGCTTCGCCACACATGCTGTACACCATCTGAGCCAAACAAGTTTATCTTAGTCTCATCAGACCACAGGACATGGTTCCAGTAATTCATGCTCTTGGACAGGTTGCTTTCAGCAAACTGTTTGTGGGCTTTCTTGTGAGCCAGCTTCAGAAGAGGCTTCCTTCTGAGACGACGGTCATGCAAACCGACTTGTTGCTGTGTGCGGCGTATGGTCTGAGCACTGACAAGCTGACCTTCCGCTTCTGCAACCTCTAAAGCAATGCTGGCGCGATCATGCGTCTGTTTTTTGAAGCCAGCTTCTGCAACTTAACATCTCAACTTCTTTGATTGATCCTTGCGAGGCCTTACGAGTGGAACCAGTATTGGGAAACCTCTGTATGACCATGCCCTGTACTTTAACTTTGTTTCAGGGTGTTACCAATCTTCTTATAGGCCATCTTTGTGGAGAGCAACCATTCTAATTCTCAAATCCTTAGAGAGGTCTTTGCCTTGAGGTGCCATGTTGAACATCCAGAGGTCAGTATGAGAGAATTGTACTCAAAGCACATTTTAACTGCTCTAATACAAGATACACAAATTTGTATGGTCCTGTCAAGCAGACAAAAACATGAATATGATGAATAGGACATGTGGCTTTGCATGGTTGAACAACGTACAGCTATTATCACTTAGGGTGTACTCACTTTTGTTGCCAGCTATTTTGACAATAATGGCTGTGTGTTGAGTTATTTTCAGAGGACAGTAAATATATACTGCTATACAAGCAGCACATTGACTACTCTAAAATATATCCAAGTTTCATTTCTATAGTATAGTCCCTTGAGAAGATATACTAAAATGTTTGCTGAAATGTGAGGGGTGTCTCTCTCTCTCTCTCTCTCTCTCTCTCTCTCTCTCTCTCTCTCTCTCTCTCTCTCTCTCTCTCTCTCTCTCTCTCTCTCTCTCTCTCTCTCTCTCTCTCTCTCTCTCTCTCTCTCTCTCTCTCTCTCTCTCTCTCTCTCTCTCTCTCTCTCTCTCTCTCTCTCTCTCTCTCTCTCTCTCTCTCTATATATATATATATATATATATATATATATATATATATATATATATATATATACATACATTAGATTTTCCATACATTGAGAAAGATAATGAGAATTCTGGGGAAAATGTGTTTATATTGTCATAAAAAAAGCCACAATGCGCAAAAAAATGTTGCTTTCATTTCACTTAATTTTTTAGGCAATATATCATTTCTTTCTTTCTTTTGAAATATCATCTGAACTTGTTTTTGTTCACCTGTGACTGAATTTCCTTTCTGAACATTGTAATGCTCTCAGACTTTCATTTACCTCCCGTAAGACCCGCGACACACACACATATGCTCAACGATACCTTATTTGCTCCGGTGTTCTTCATTTTTCTTTTCCATAGGAACATTGTTTGATTCAGTGCAGATGTCAAGTGCGGTCACACTAGACAGGACGTGATGTCACACTCTAGGGATTCTATCTAAATTAAGTAAAAATACATTAAAAATTAATTTAAAACCGTTAAAATATCAATTTAATCTACTTTCCTGCAACACTACAAACTGTTCAGCTTTGTAGTATTTTTTTTTTTATATATATATTGCACCAAGAGGTCAATCTGTGACATTTAGAATCCTGTATTGTTAAATCGTCTTTTTTCCATATGCAGATCAGTTCATCAGTCTAGTGAGATTGCAGCAATATGGTGACTGTGTATCACATGACTTCCTGTCACAGAAAGGTAAACATTTACCGCTGTTTCCATGGTTATGTCTGTAGTTGTATTAGAAGAACATTAATTAAAATTAAATAATTTAAAATTAACGGACACGGTCTGAAAACGCTTCCTATAATTTCAATAATCCAATAAGTGAGAGAAGCTTATATATAGTGTTTCTAGAAAATCTTTAAATGTGTGATTATTAAGAATCTAGAAAAATAAGTCATACTTTTTTCCTTTTTTTTCTGGTAATAATAGTATATGAAAGTTTATATGAATTCACAGAGGCTTGTAATATTATTTCCATATAAATCTCATGAATTAGTTGTGACTTCGCCGGTTTGATCTGCAAATAATTACATCCTCTAGTGAGTTTTAAATCCATCCCTCTGTGAGAATCATCATCCAGTGCATCTGAAGAGTTGTGCTTCGATTTAATGCTGCGATTGCGTCGATTTCCATGAGGAAGAGAAGACCAAAATGAAAAGCTTGTGTCCTGTTTGTGTTTAAAATATCCTCCTGAATTTCCAAACCTTTAGCAGGGTGAGGACCAAAAAAGAAATAATAGTTGTAAAGCAAGATTTGTTATTGATCCAGTTATGTCTCTCACTCTCTTAAAATAATTTCACGCTCTGTTTGAGGGAAATAGTCTCGTTATTCCTTTTTTTCCGGAAGCAAATTCCATTTTTTTTTCTTTGTTGAATATACATATATTTAATTTTTTCAGTGTTGGCTGCGATATTTCCAAACCAAGTTCAGTACTCGCATCCATAAAGTACCGAAGGGGGGGAAACAAAAAAACAAACTGATAGGATTTTCCCGTTTCATCCTGATCAAAAACAGGCATAAGTAAGCAAGTGAACAGATGCACATGGAGCGTTGCATTCTGTCGTGCTCCCTTCTTGAAAATATGATCAAAAGCATAATAAAGTGGTGTATGTAATCCTGCGGTCACAGAAACCAGAGTTTCCAGCGCGCGTGTTTCTTGGCCTCCGCTTTGGACTTGCGTTTGGGCGTGGAGCCGATGGTCTCCTGAGGATAGGGCAGAGGGGGGAACAGGGACTCCTCCGTGGGACACAGTCTCTTCATCAGAGGCTGTAGCTTATCTTCCTGCAGTTTAAAGTCCAGCTCCACACTGCAGCACAGAGAAAACAGACCCTTACTGTGTGTGCAGCACAACATAAATGCAGATTCAGCACAATTCTACATGCATACCACAGTAAGAGCGTCAGATGCGCTCAGGAACACAGAATATATGCCGTCAGGCTTGAGATCAGCGGTAGAAAGGTTTTATTTGTCAACCACTGTACAGTTTACTTCTTTATTATGACATTCCTGAGTGAATCAGTATATGTAATGAGTGTTTTATCCATTGAGAATAATTAGATCATGAAAAGTACCAGAATTGAGCCAGAACCAAATGCAAGTGTGCTAAAACAGTGCCTAAATTGATATTTGGCTATTATTTGATAGTATCTTCTTATATATGAATCATGCACAATAAGACCAATACATTTTTAGTTACTAGGGCTGTCAAGCGGTTCAAATGTTTTTTTAATCTAATTAATTACATGTGCAGATTAATCGAATTAATCACAAATTAATCTCACATCAGTTTTGGCTTAGTCATTATTGTGTTAGATGAGAAAAGCTTTGACAAAAATTAGCTTTAGAAAGAAATATATTTTGATTCAACAGAATTTATTACACATAAACCTTTAAGGCTACAATGTGGCCACACAATTTTTTTTTCATAAGCTGCATCTGAAGTGGCATTTATGCTTCTGCATCATGACTTGAGCATTTTTGTCTGTAAATGGTATACTTTTTAAGGGAAGGAAGGTAGCAGTCGCACAATTCAGTTTCCAGATGGGCTAAAGCTGCTGTTTTTTATTGTACTTTCATTTGACGTAAAGCAGTGAATTAAGAACTTCAGGTTCAGGGAAGTTTAATGATCTTTATTATGTTTCTCTCTTCGTGTCCCTGTAGAAAATAGTTTATAGAGTTGATGTCCCTGGCTGTGTAAAGATAAGTGTGAGTGTGTAAGCTCCTTCTTCTGGGTGCATTCGGTCTCTGCGGGTGTTGCATTGTGGGATTTATCCTCTGGATCGTCCGTTTTATGTGCCGGAGATAATCCAGCGTCCACTACACATCTGATTCCTGGGATGATGAGTCACATTAAACTCCACGATTAGAGAGGAGAGATGGGGTGAAAGTGAGAATAAAAGAGTGAATGTGTGAGAGAGAGAGGGATGGTGGAGCGAGGGATTATATCACTTTAGCAGACTGAACAAACTTCTGTCTCTTGAAGGAGAGAGTGTCTGTGCACTTACAGACCTGTATGCTGGATTTGATCACATCTTTATATTTCCAGTTCTGAAATGTGATTGGATAAGCCATTTTCAAAGTCCTTGTAAAAAAGTACTTAAGTTTCCTGAAGAAAATAAAATTGACAAGGCAACTTGAGAGCTGGTTGTGACTGATGGTTGATGTAACGCTGCACTTTAAAGGTTGTATCAGCGATTTCAGGCCCAAACATAAATGATCACATTCATCTAATCTTTCCTACCGGTCCGCTAGCTGCCCGCCCCATAAACAGGCCGTCAAAAAAACGCAAGGCTCTGAGATCTGCACACAAAAACAATTGGTTTCACCAACCACCTCAAAACCAAAATAAATAATAAATAGTGTTCCAACCAATCACCGAGAAGGGTTTGTTGATAGACGCTGGCTTCTTCTTCAGCTCCGCCTTTATTATAGCAATGAAGGGATATATAATCAAACAGACATATTTTTTACCATATTTACTCCACTTATTTACTAATAATTTTGCTGTGTGTTATTCATTGTTGGTCGATTTTAGATTTTGGAACTGACGAGCTAACGCTTCTTTTAAATAGTCAAGTGTGTATGAAAAATTACAAGATACATTTTGAATAAATGATTAATTGTATTTTAGTAAACATCAGTATGTAAATGTGTTATTAATTTGTTTCAGCATTTATTTTTTTTAGTAATTTATAGCTGGTAAAAAAAAAGTTTGTCATTCCTTAAAACACCCCTTAAAGGAGCTGTATGTAAGATTGTGGCCAAAACTAGTACTGCAATCACTTTCAAATTACTGTAGAGCGGTGTATCCCCTCCCCCTCCTCCCTGACTCGAGGTTGCCAGATCGGCTGCAGGATCCAGCAGGAACGTGACGAGCTGCAGCTGTGGTAACTAGAGCAGAGCTGGCAACCCGGATGCCGAAACACTACTGACTTCGTGATTGGTAGATAGGTGGAGGGTGGAGCATCAGACCAAAACACAACATGACAACATCAACATCAGTTGAGGGCTGCAACTGCACTTTTTAAATGACAATATCCTGGCAAGACTACTGTTGTCAGTGATATAAGTATTTGAAATGTACATGATTTCTTAATGTCTAGTGACATTTCAGGGCCATTTTATGATTAATTGAAATAAATTTCTTACATACAGCTCCTTTAATGTAAAATCATTCTGATGCAAGAGACCTTTTGGCTTATAGCTTTATTTAAATATAATAGATTTGATTTAATAAATGGTATGAGAGACTGTGAATACAATCTTGGCTTAAACAAGATGCACAGTACATGACAAAGTGCCATAATGTTTTTCTTTTTCTTATTTTGCTAGATGATCCAATCTTCATATGTAAACATATGTTAATGGTACATTTCTGTGAATATAATATTTTATTTACTTTACTTTTTTAAAAGCTTTTTCTCTCCCATTTTTTAAGAAAAAACATCCTGTCGAAATTTTTCGATTTTCAGATATCAATAGTTCCTGAGACACGGAAAAGCAATCCGTTTCTCTGTGGTAATGAAGTGAAAAAGACTGGTATTCCTGTCTCGCTGACAGAGCGTTGAGATTAACAGATAGGAAGAGACATTTAACACTCTCTATATCCCAAACCCCCTGTTCAAAATGCACTTTCGAATGTGACGCATCAGCACTGATGGCGTTTATTTTGCAGACGGCACCCAGAGAGCTGCCATTCAACATGTGAAATGAAGTCTGTCTTTGAATCACTTGACACAGAAATGCATTGCTTTCCTGTTGATTTCATGCACTAGATTGCACAAAGCATCTTTCAGAGGCATGTTCATTTCAAATTCAAAAATGAATTGCATATTGTTAGCCAGTCTATATTTAAAGCAATGTTTGGATCTGTTTAACAGCGAGTGTTTGGCCTGAAAGTGAAAGGTTATGTAAGGTGTGTGTGTTATTGAGGACTAAGCATGTTTGTTCGTTGTGTGTCTGGCCTTTGCATTCAGGCACCGCACAATGCAGCAATTAGCAAATTAATCACAGCACAACCTGGTAATTATGCCCTTATCAATATGACCATGTTCTTGCTACAGAGAGACATGTACAAATCACTCATTACCTCAATAAGTCTCAAGAAGCTCTTTGAACAAGATGCTTCGAGTTTCTCTGAGAGCTCGCAGTCGGTGATCATTTGGTGGTTGAGGATTGCGCTTTGTAGTTTCATATTGCTGGAGAGATAGCCTGGTTAAAACCAGAGCATTCTCAGTTGTAACTGAGTTATGGTAAAGCGTCATAGACAAATCATTTCCAGAGGGGCGTCACCAACGGGCGTCGCGGATAGACCTAAACCCAATCAGAGCGATGAAGGAGATGACGTATGCAGAGCGGCGGGTGTTGTTCTTTGCTCGGTTTTTAACAAAAAGGAAACGTTCAAATCGCTTAAAACAGACGCGATAGCTGATTGGAACGAGTGATGTTCGACGGCGGCATCCATCTTTGTAATGTAGGCTACAAAATCTGCTTCAAAATCCCAGCGCTGTCGTCATCGTGTAAAGCCCGCCCCAACGTTTCTGATTGGTGCCGGGATTTCGGCGGATTGGAAATGGGCTTGAATGAGCTCTTTGCCGGACTAACTTTCAGAGCAAATCTAAATTTGCCGGAAGTTGTCTGGGTTTTCCCAGGCTACTGGAGAGAGGCTTTTTATGTTAAAATCGGATGCTGATTTTTACATTTTAAACATTTCCATTGCACTCACCATGAATGTTTGTTTTTATAATGAATAATTATTATAATTTTATATGCATTTATTTATGTGCATATTTATATATTAATGAGACGTCTTTCAAAATTTTTTAAAAATTGCAATGTTTCATAACTTTTGACAGGCAATGTATATAATATGGATTTTTGTGGATTTTATATATGCAAAAATTATATAAAAAGTATAATAATAAAAAGAAACTTAGATTAACGACTAAAAGATTAAAAAAATGACAGTTTGTTGTGTTTATGTATCTATGGGTGTGTAAATATGAAAAAATGTCATTAACAAAGTCAACCCTAACCCCAAAGAAAAACAAAAAACAAAACAAACATGTTTTTTGTAATCCATATTTATACTTGCATGCTAACAGCTCTGGCTCGATGGAGCATGTGACGGTTCCGTCAACATTTCTAAACCGTTCTCACACTGATCTTTATTGTTGAGCCCTGAGTTCTCTGTGATTGATCTATTTTTCTTAAAGAAGAAATCATTCTAGTTAACCACATTTTCGACTCCACAAGCTTTTAATATTTCTGTTTAATGGGAATATTAATTGTGTTCTCTGACTTGAAGTGCGGGCTCTTTCTGCCGAGGCATGGCGGTACAGTGCTCACTATTTCTAGCTTTCGAATCACAAATCAATGTTTAATATTTCTCCCTGGATCAATACGGTTCTCCACAGAATAAACTAGAGCATCATAAGAGAGCAATACAGTGAAGTGGCTGTCTAAAGAACATCAATATTTCATTTGCATTAGAGAGTCGAGTACGTCGCAACCGCAACTCGAGCCAACGTGAACGCAGAGCCGTTCTTGTTTTCGTCTGACAGGCCTAGATTCCTCTCTCTCTCTGACGCTTGCGTGGTATTTTTCATTGATCGTTCGCCTTGTCTCCTGCTCTCCACCCACGACTGTTGTCACGACCGACGCTTTTCACTGTTTCTAAGCTGCTAATTAGAAGCTGAAAGCCGTTGATAAGGCTGTATATCCCTGCTCATTGCCCCTGCACGCAGCTTAGCGCTGTATTCTTTTATGTGGCGTAGGCTTTCCTTCCCTTCATCCCTCAGGATGAGG